TTCATTAGTTCCAAATTTCCAATATGAAATCAATACACAAAGTACTCTCTTTCAGTATCCCTTTCAGCAACAGTGAGGACAGATAATCAAACCATTCTCATTGCATGTAGGGCATTGACTCGACAATCCATCATCGGCGATGATCCGATGACTGCCACTGCACCCGAAGCAGAGCACAAATCGAACTCCGGCACAAGCTTCACAAGGTCCATCTGATCTATCTACTGGAATACCGTCAAAGAGCAACTTGAGCTTCCCCTGCTCGTTCAGAGTCAGGACCTCCTCTGCTCCGCCGATGTATCTCCCCTTAATGAAAAGCTTCGGAGGTACTGCTTTTCCGTCCAAGATTTTCCATAGCTCTTCCTTGTACTCCATGTGCATTGAGACATCCCTTTCGAAGAATAGAACCCGGAAACTCTCCAGAAGAAACCGAACCCTGTTACAATCTTCAAATGTCTTTCTTATCCCTGTCAACGTTGTTGTGTATAGAATCACCGATCCATCGCCACCAGGCGGGCATTTCTCTTCAAAGAATAAAATAGGATCGTCTTCGATGGTTTCGGCGGCATCAATCCGGCGAGTTTTATGCGGAGGCTCGTTTTCTTGCTCTAATTTTGCATTACACTCTGTTTCGTCTCCACTCTGTTGGAGTTTCTCTTGCTCAATTCTTGCTTGCCTCTCTGCTTCACTCATTTTCATATGCTCCTTTACCGCCTGCTCGAAGGCAACGAGCAGGTTTGGATCGAAGAGGCTGCAGGAATTCAGGTCCGGTCTCCGGAACGACGAGATGTCGATCTCCGACAACGGGGTTTCCGTATTCCTGCAGCTTCCCTGCTCCAATGTCATCGGAACCCCCAAATTTTCTTCACCAAGAACTGCTGAATTTCCTTTCAAGAGTGGCCTGATGTTCTCTTTATCTTCAACACCTTTATCGGAACCCATTTCTTCTTCTTCTTCTTCATCATCATCCTCAAGATCTCTCATAAGCTCCGTTACATCAATGATTTCTGGCTCTTGAATCACCACCCTGTTCTCCTCGTTTATCTCTGGCTCAAATTCCTTTCGCGCCATCAGGGATTCTATTCTCGGATCTGGGGTCTTGGGACAAGAATCGACGAACCCATCAATGGCAAATACCTGAAGAACACGATCTGGCTTTAGGTAACCGACGGGCTTGATCGATTTCAGCTTCTTCAACAACTTCCCCTTCACTCCCTTCATCTTTTCTGTCTTCAACAAATTACCTGGTAAAATCGAAACTGGGATAGGGATTGAAACGTAGGAATTTCAATTTTGAAAAGAAAAAGATTTGATTTTTAAGCTGAAGGGAAGAGAGGGAAAAAAAAAAAAAAGGAGAGAGAAAGAGAACCCAAAGTTCAACGGCTAGAAAGCTTGCTTTTTTCCTCTGGTTTCTGGTGATGGAGAGAGAAAGAGAACCCTAAGTTCAATTTCAACGGCTACAAAGCCGACACTTTTAAAATTCAAAAATAATCAGGTGATGAGAAGGGAAAATCCTCTGAGGACAGAAGTATGGAGTGGTCCCGATAAAGACATCTCACCTAAACAATCTAGAAAAATGTGGAATGCAATTATGAGTAGACAACTTAAACCCTTAGATAAAAAATTTCGTTTAATAATTTATATTTTTATGTTTAAAAATAAATTAAATTGTATAATAAAAAATTTATAAATATATTTAAAATGTCAACTTAAAATTAAATTTTTTTTTAAATTTTTTTTTAAAATATAAAAATTAAAATATATTGATATTTAATCTTATTTCAATTATATGATAAATAAGACTCAATTAAAACTTATTTTATATTTAACTTATTATGTGATTTTAATTAAATATTTTGATACTTTTAATATAAGAAATCTTCGAACGACTCGTTCCGATCCAGTGACATTGAACTTTGAATTAGAGTTATTCACCTCCAGTGGATTGTACCTTCGAACTCCAAAGAATACATTTTTTATTACAAATTTTTCAAAAAAAAAATATAAGATATCTTCATTTTCTACACCCTTTTATTAATCCCTTTTTTTTTTTCATCTTCATATTCTCTTTTGTTAAAAAATACAATTGTATTCACAAAAGAGTCAATATCTTACAAATTACTCGAATTTTCTAGAAATCTTTTAAATTACTTGTGAAATGAAAGACGTTATAAATCTTTGTATAACAATAATGTAGTTATAATGCCCATGAGATTTTATAAGTTTACATATAGTAAGATAAATTCTTAAACAAAAAAAATCAATCATATAATGACATATTATAATAATAATTTTACAATAAAGTTATTTGAATTAATAATTAAATATAACTAATAACTAATAATTAATATCTAATTATTAATAATTATTATTATTTATAATTCAAAATATTTAACTCATTTAATTAGAACTAACAACTAACATTTATTCGCAAAAAACTAAAACAAACATCCTCAATGTCACCTAACATTTAATTTTATTACTATTAATCATGTAATCTGATAATAGAGTTACATGTACTTGTAGTCATAAGTTTAGACTTCAATCTCTAAATATAAAACAATAATAATAATAATAACAATAACTTTTATCATTTTCTATAGTAAATGGTGTTTCTTCAAGATTCAAGTTGTAAGGATGAGGGTGCGATGGGTAAGAGGGATGTGTTGGGCTTTACAGTTCTCTCAGTATGGATCCTTTCATCCCTGATCTGGCAAGATAATGTACAAGACCATGCATCTTGCAAGGAGTGCCATGATAAATGAATTATAACCACGGAAAAGATTAAGTCCACAGTATGGGTTACAGTTCCTTCTCCAGAGGTATAGAAACTTTCATCCCTTCCTCCTTCACCCTCAAATCACAAGCCCAGGGAGTGAGTCGTGGCCATTGGCTAGAAGAGTTGATCGAGGTATCTCCTCAAGCTTTCCATCAGCTAAAAGGAATACTCGATTGGCCATTAAAACTGTCTCCAAGCGATGGGCTATGACCAGTACCTGTGAATGTAAAAGCCATGGTTTAATTGTTTCAAGAATTCTCAAAAGTTGTAAAAGGGACAAAATACAAGAACATAAGTATATAGAAGAAGATTGTAGTTGTTTTTCCTTGTACACAGTAGCCAGCTAATTTCTGGCTAAAGGGTGATGAAAGTCACAAGATCAATGACAGTCAGACAGTGATGCCCCTTATTCAATGAAGTGCTGATTTCTAAAATGCGAATATAATGAATGATATTTCAAGCCTCGACAATGATGATCTTTCAAAAACAAATGATCTGAGTTTCCCAACAAAGGGTATAAAACAAGGAAGAAGTCGAGCTTTCCCAACAAAGGGTATAAAACAAGGAAGAGGTCGAGCTATAGGTTAAGCTATTATTCTCTTACAGTATGATTTTCCATCAAGCGCTCCACAGCTTGCCTCACCAATAACTCAGACCTGCTGTCTAGTGCAGAAGTTGCTTCATCCAAGATCAAGATGGACGAATTCTGATAAAGGGCTCGAGCAATAGCTAGCCTGGATTTGTAAGCATGCAGAGAGGTAGTAAATCAGTTAAACAAATAGAATTAACAGCAATATCTAAGAAGTCAACCTGTAACTTGCTATACTTCAGCACAACCATGATCTTCCTGGATAACAGGAAAAGGTTGTTACATTCTTTTGTTTTGCAACATTTAAGCTTAGCAATAAAAATGTAAGTGCTTGGATTTGAGGTTTCACCTTTGCTTCTGGCCTCCACTTAAAAGCGAACCCCTTGGTCCAATATTGCTTCTGTAACCTTCTGGAAGTGTTTTAATAAATTCATCTGCATTTGCGATTTGTGCTGCAAGCTCAACTCTCTCAATATCAATAGTTTTTGTCATGAGATCCCTGTATCCAATGTTTTCCGCAACGGTCCCAGAAAAGAGTGTCTGAAATACATGCAATAATTTTCTAAACAAATCATCTTAATCCATCTTCAATTTAAACAGAGGACCATTCAAGTTTCTTTAATTCAATATTAACCATTCATTCTTAAATGAAATGTAACCATGCATCAAAGTAAGCATATACTATATAACAAAACACCAGCCACGAGGGTGCAACTTCAAACTATTTTCAACCAGGAAATGGCCAGAAAGATTGACACCAGGAAAACCACTTCTGACTCACATCAACAGAAAATAGATATCAACTGATTCTTTGGCAAGCTCAGGAATGAGACCAACATAAAATAAATTAAAAAGGAAAGAAAAAATGTAAAAGCTCAGGGATACCAAAGTTTGACTATGTAAAATTGATAATAAAGAAGATGGTCACTGCTGGCTCACAATGTCTTGCGAAACAAGACCAATATGTCTTCTCAAACTTTCCAAACGAATATTCTGTATGTTGTGATCATCGACAAGAATAGAACCTGTGGAACACAAGGTATGTGGTCTCAAAAAAATAAAATCTGATAACATTTTTGAATTTAATATCATAAGCACAGCAGAAGTGGATAATTGAGCTAAAAAGAAACAAAATAAAAAGAGTTGCTTTTAAAATATAGGAGCAGCAGTAACTTGATCATGTTTACAGGGCAAAGAAAAAGTTCATAGAAATAGAAAACTCACCACATGAAGCATCATAAAGGCGAAGAAGCAATTTTACTAGGGTTGTCTTCCCTCCTCCAGATGGTCCAACAAGAGCTACTGTTTCCCCAGCCTTGATATGAAGATTAAACCCATCCAAAACAGGGGGCATATTGTCCCCATATTTAAATGAGATGTCACAAAATTTAACCTCTCCCATGACATAGTCCAAATCAATGGCAGTTGGTTTCTCTATAACCTATATTCCAGAATAATGAATTTGTGACCACAAGAAGAGAAGAAAAGCTAGATTTTGACTAGAATCATCATCATCACATCCTTTACCACAGTAACAAAGGAACATAAATATTAGGATTGACACAATCGCAGGAGAGACAAATATATGGTGAATGGCACATCTGAAACTAAAAGGTTTCAATTTCAAGGAGATCAATATATCACTAACACTGTACTACTTGCCAGAGAGTGTAAGATGGTCAAATGAAGCAGAAAAGCAAGTATTGTTCACAATGACATGCAAAATTACCTAAATTAAGCTAGTGGCAAGCAAAAGATTTTGAATTATTCTATAAAACTGCCCTATAAAATAATATGCATTAGTACCTAATGAATAAAAATTCTAATAGGATTTACCAAACATCATAAATTTCACTTTCAAATACTGTAGACATAGCAAGTTGTTGATATACCTTAGGTTTTAACTTGGTCAAATCCAACAAGCGTTCAATGGCTGGTTCACCTTGTTTCAACTCATTGT